AGATGTGTTGCGAATTAGTGCCCCTTAACTGACCATCGATTCCCCCACTTCATCTTTTCCCCCACTCCCCATTTCAAGACCTCTAGATACGCCACTGCTTGTAACTATCTGATGCACAACCTTTGATCTTGAATAATTGAAATTTGTTACAGCCCGACTAAAATATTTTCTATAAGCCTATTATTTTTCAAAAGGCAACGAAAATGATCGAGGTGTATCTCCATGATGTCGGTATCAAATATAGCTACCACCAATGGCGAATCCAGAAATTCGAAATATAGGGGATCCAAGGTGGGACTTTCCCATTATTATGAATTTATGATTATGGCTCCTCCTTGCTCATGTAGCCCGAGTTACCACACGGTAACTTATAAACTAACATCGACCCTCATCATCCGACTCCACGACAAAGAATATTAATTTGCCGATCCAAACAAATTTCACTTTGATAAGTAATCCAATTGTGGTCAAAAAGCACATAAGCGATCCGGAACCGTACAATTTCTTCCCATGAACCCCACTCCAGGGATTTTATTTCGGGATCTATGCAGCCCCTTGTTTTCCCGATCAGAATTGTTTAACCCCCTGTCGATATTTTTTCCATTTTTTCTTATTTACAGACATTTTACTACAAGAATCCTTAAATTGACACTACCGGGCAATTTAAGTCTATGTATATATAAGAATACAGCACTGTATAATTTAACTGAAAACAATTGTGTCGTTCAGATATTTATTTGTAGGTTTGTAAATTAATCAAACATAATTATTCAATTATCGAATTTAATTTATTTTATCTCTCAGCTCATGACAGACAGTTTATATTTTCTTGATCACAATTCATTTTTTATCTTGCTTATGCATGTTGGGCATGGAATAAATTCAATCACTCAAAAAATATTAGGGCCTATATCATGAAAAATGTTCGTATGAAGATGTAGGCCTAGTTATAGTATTACGTATATTGTTTGAATATACTGTATTTATGAATCTGTATATTTATTTCTATCGATTGATACACTTCTTATACATTTTACTTATCCATGACAATCGAATAGTAACATTGTTAACGCTATTTCGATCTACTAGGCCTACCCAATACACCTATTTAATATTCCTCATTCATTCCGTGATATATGATAAGAAGTGTGAAGTACTATTCTGTTTAATCAGCAGCATTGGCCATATATTGCGATAACTGAATACGATAATGTTCAGGTTGGGGTGCTCACTAATTTTTATTTTTATAGGTGTTTTTTTATGATACTCCGTTATAATTTTTTTCTCAGTTTCTTAATATTTTCTCAATATTTTTCTATTCCAGTGAATTGACAAAGAAGCTACAAATATCAGGAAATAATGTCTGGACTCATCGTGAAAGGACAACTGAACTTACCAATTATTTATGGATAGGCCTAGCCAAAAATGTCACTCGTCAAGCTTCCTGCAAAATCTGTGGATATTATTAATTTAATTGAAATATATTGTTTCCTCTGCAAACATCTCATAAATAATGTTATCAATATGTATTTATTCTTGTAGGCTTTATATTTAGTAATATTGTATTATTACTGCTAATGTTAATAATAGAGAAAATAACTCGTTTGTTGTAAAGAATATCCATGTAAGATAATAAGATACCATTTTGAGGATAAAATTAGGTCTATTGATTTTTGCTGAATGTAGATGCATTTTAGTGTATAAATATAAAGTGTATCTCAACTTGATTTCAATGCTTGAAAATAAATATCAAATGGAATATGCATTTCTTCTCATCTTATTCAATGTCTGTGTTTACTGTAATAAATTAAATAGCTAAAATATCCTCATCATGCTTAAACCAAAAGTGAAGAATTGCTTCATCAATATTAGCTACTTGGTCTATTAAACTAGCAATTAAATCCTTTCGAGGACACCCTCAACAAAAAACATAAAACCGGAAATGACGTCGGTTACTAGGTTACATCATGCATATTCAGTAACACCTGTGCTCATTAGACTAACAATAAAATCTTTTTGGTCGATTTTGTCAAAACTGAGCTAAAAGTTTTTATTGTTAGTCTAATGAGCACAGGTGTTACTGAATATGCATGAGCTGTAACCTAGCAACCGACGTCATTTCCTGTTTTGTGAAATTCGACGGCACCTTGCTCTAAAGTTTCGTAATTTGTTGGTATCATGTAAATGTAACATAAAACCGGAAATGACGTGGTTGCTAAGCAACAAGCTCATGCATAATCATGAATATTCAGTAACACCTGTTCTAATTAGACTAACAATAAAATCTTTTTGGTCGATTTTGTCAAAACCGAGCTAAAAGTTTTTATTGTTAGTCTAATGAGCACAGGTGTTACTGAATATGCATGAGCTGTAGCCTAGCAACGGACGTCATTTCCTGTTTTGTAAATTTCGACAGCACCGTCCTTGCTCTGAAAATTGCCGTAATTTGTTGGCATGTAAATATATTTTGAAATTTTAGTGCTTAAGATATAGTAGGCTATAATAGTGTTATATTCGATTCGAATTAATTATAATGTATTTAATTCGATTATATTATCATAAAATATTATTATTAATGCAACTACAACAAAGGAAGTACACACAATGATGTATTATAAATTCCACAGTTTATTTTTATTTCTTACATACTGGGAAATGTTATATCAGAACTATATAAACGTAATTTATGTACTGTATAACTCTTAGGCGTAACAATATATTTAAGTATATAATATCGTTCGAGAATTACTTGTTCCTTGTAGGCATACAAGAAACACAATTGGCAAATTTATTTTAATTCTGATGATCCAGAGGTGGTATAAAACCAAATAAATATCCGCGAGCGACTTTTACGTAGAAGACGACATAAATCTGGCTATTGATAGTACATTGTTGTTCCAGCAATTACACATCGTGTTCCGCTGACAGTGTACATCGACCTCGCACTTATTGATGGATCGGTGACCTGAGACACCGAAATAAAAGAGATTGGACTAGTGAGAAATATTCAAAATATTTTCATTTTAGCATCTGTGTGTGAAGTTAGGCCTAGATAAGTATAAATCGCATTAGATTAAAAACACTTATTGGAAACATTATGACATGTATACGTTCATGAGGTATTGGAATGCAAATTCAAAAAATAGAATTGATTGTTTGATTGATTTAATACATAATGTAAAGTGTAGTGTATAAAACGTTGATTTTATACGAGTGGGTACGTACACACCCCACCGTCCAACCCCAAATCAAAATAGGTCTACACTTTTTAAGACCTGTCTCTTATACACATCTAGATGTGTATAAGAGACAGACACTGTAGTGTAATGTGTTAGGTTGTAAAAACTGTATTGAATAAAAAAAGAATCTTTCCATTAAAAAAATCTTTCGCTTG